TTCTTACTGGGCTAGTATAGCTCATTCATTCATTAATCATTTCAGATCAAGAGAATTAAGATCTAGAGTCCGATCCACAAGAGGGTTGCGAGTAGGATGCTCAGTTGCTTATTTTTCATTTATCTCTTTGACTTTTTATTATTTTTTTTAAAAGAGTCATTCTTGTAACTCTATTAGTTAATCTGAATTATTGTGTAAGGAATGTAAATCTTAACTATTTATTTCTCTTCCGCACTAAATTTATAATTTACTTCCTTTAGAGTTCACGGTCCTTTACTTTAATTGACTTAAGAGTTAAGTATTCATAACCTTTTGTTGTGTGTTGTGTCAACAAGGCTGCTATTTATATTCCAAAGAATCATGTTTTTCACAAAAGGGTAAAAAACTCATAGAGTTAGACTATAACTTTATCTATGAAAGTATTCAAGATAAAAGTATTGTAATAAATCACATAAGCAATGATCAACATGTGACAATCATGCCTATCAAGTCATTTCCATATAGACTTCTAAACTTACATAACCAATATGAGAATCGAAAACATCTACTCTCCATCTTGTGGAAAAGTGTAAAAATATATGATACCCAAGCCCACGGGCTAAGCCGACATACTAAATAAGTAGCCGTGTCCTATGAGAGGATCTGTGCCAAGGATTGTATGTATATATGTATAAATTTTTTATAATTATGAAAAAATGAACTGTGTGTATACATGGCATAGATACACCGTATTTTAACCTATGTATATAAAATTTATTTTCTGTTAATTAAAAGTATCAAGAAATAGTAATACAAAAATAAAAAAAAAAAAAAAAATCCTATTAGGGTTTCTCTCTATCTGTCGTCTCTAGGTAGCTTGTTCTTGCTTGTTTCTCAAACCTTTTTTTCTCATAGATATGGAAAGATCCTTCTATCATCGAGTATTTGAAGTTCTTATAATTTTGTTAACTAATTAGAGAAATATTATAAAATCAAAATACTAATACAATTAATTTTCTTTACTAAATGGAAGACTTAAATTAATATTTTTCTAAAATAATTGGATAAGCCTTGGAATATGTACATTGCTTTTCTTTGTCTCTTAATTTCTTTCTTTGTAGAAAGTGCAAAACTAATTAATTAATTAAATGTTAATATTCTTATTCTTCCTGCTCCAAGCATCTGTGATGTGTCTTGTTTAATTAATTAATAAATCTTATTATATTTGAATTTTAAAATGCATTATCATTTTTTTTTTTATCCAGACATTTTATCTCAATTAACAGTAAATATTATCCGTTTATCAAGATATACATGTCGTTAACAGTAAATATTTTTTTATTTTACATTTTCAAATTTTTATTGAATTAAGTATCAGAATATCCTGTAATTAAATATTTCAAAATCTTTTGTTGTAAAACTTTGCAAATTATTTTGACTATTTCAAGACGTTTTAATTGTTAATTGTCAACGAATAAGAGAAATATATATATTTTTTTGCAAGTCAATCACTATATATACTTAGGAAAACAAGAGAAATAGGAAACTAAATTTGCATTCACTTGTTCAGAATAGGAAATCAGTATTCTTAGAACAAGATAGATAATAGGAAATATCAATGTCTGTCTAGGATTTTTAGAAACTAAATTAGGAAGACAAATTGAATAATTTCCTAAACAAGCACTGACCCACCCCTCTATATAAATACATGCTTACTTCTAGATTTATCCCATTGCAATCTCAATTTGTTTACCCCACTCTAAATTTAATCTTCACTTGTTGTTTACTGAACTAGAGATCAAAAGATGAGCAAGATCTTGAAACTCGTCAAACAAATCTTTGCCGAAGATCCTGGTAAATTTCAATCTTCTACGGCTTGGCTTATTTTGTTACTGTTACTAATTCTTTTGATGAAATTTTTATGTTACTGTTATATTTTAATCAGAAGTTGAAGAGGGAACATCCCTGCCGGCCAATCAAAGTGTTTTGCAGAAGCATGCTACTTTCTTCGACCGCAACCATGACGGCATTGTTTATCCTTGGGAGACCTATCAAGGTTTTTTTTTTTTTTCTTTTTCTTTCAAATGAAATATGAGCTGATTGAATGATAAAAAATTATTTAATTTTGTTAAAAAAATTTAGGGTTCTTATTTTTAATTTTTATTTTGGGTTGATTTCATTATATCTCTAACAGGTTTTCGAGCAGTTGGTTCTGGTAGACTATTGGCGGTGGCTTCCTCTATTTTTATCAATGTTGGTCTTAATAGAAGTACTCGTCCGGTGATTCTCTTCTTCTTCTTCTTCTTTTTTGGTCAAATTTAAAAACACGTATTTAATTCTATATTTGACTATATATTATATTAATACTTAATGCAGGGAAAATATTTTTCTCCATTGTTTCCTATTGTAATCAAGAATATCCACTTGGCCAAGCACGGAAGCGATAGTGGTGTTTATGACAGTAATGGAAGGTACGTATTTATATAAACATATTTTTCTCCATTATGTATTCTTAGTTTTACAGAAACTTTTTTTATTAAAATTATATGGATTGAAATTGAATTTTACAGCTTCGTTGCATCAAAGTTCGAAGAGATTTTCAGCAGACATGCTCGAATATATTACGAGGCTTTAACATTTGATGAATTGATGGAGATGGTAAAGGCAAACAGAAAACCCAGGGATCATAAAGGATGGTTGGTTCTTCACTCAATTTTACATTTGAAAAAACTCTTGAATTTTTCAAGTATTAATTTAAACCTTGTTAATGAATTAATTGTATTGTAGGATAGCGAGCTTTGCAGAGTGGAGGATATTTTACATTCTTTTCAAAGACAAGAATGGTTTGCTGCAGAAGGAGACAGTTAAAGCTATGTATGACGGAAGTCTTTTTGAGCGTATGGAGAAAGAGAAGAAGTCATCATACTCTACAAAGAATAAAATGTGAATTATTATTATTTTTTGCTTTCTGGGTTTTGTTTTTAATTACAGTAATTAAGTAATGTTAAGAATTAATAAAATAATTAGATCGATTGGTGCAAGTTAGAGGTAGTTTTGATCGTTCTTCTTTTATCTCTTTGTTTTTTTACTTTAAAAATATATATATATATATATATATAAAACTCAAAATAGATTATTGTTTTTGTAATAAAAATATTTATCGAGCAATCCCCCCGGTTATACGCAAGAAAACCGATCGATTAATATTGGGACTGATGTTTGGTAGGATAATAATTAGAAGAGTTTGGCAACTAAAGCTGAATATGTAAGAAAACAAAAAATGACAAAAAGTCTAAACTCAAACAACACTGTCTTGGTGGTTTTCTATATATACAAACATCAATACAGAATGCAAACAAAAAATTTCCAGAGGAGTATGTGTCTGCTAGCGCAGCAATATATTTGAACTTCCATAAGAGCTTGCTAGTAACATTCTTAATTATTTCTGATTCTTTCTTATCCCAATCTCCTCCCATTATTACCCAATATTTGGATGTTTGATACTCAAAATAGGTCATTCTTGTGGGGAAAATAGTTTCTTTTTGGTGCAAGATAGATACTGACGACTTTCTACTAAAAATTTATCTCACTTACCATCCACCTCACATGCACATGCTACTACGGTATCTCGAGAGCATCATAACTTCCTCCAATTTTCTAATATTTTATAATAATTTAGGAACTTGCATTAAATATGGAGTATGTTAAGCTTTCCAATCAACCCACAACAAGATCCGGATGAGTATTTTTATTCTTCATTATCCAAAGCTTGACTCTCATTTCTAGTTTGGAAAGTTATCCAAGGCTGATTACCTCAAAGAGCGGCCGAATTGATGTACTCAGATGACACTTCAACCAAATTAACCCTATAACATTAACTTCTTTTCGGTTCAATTAACCTGCAGACAATAGTTCTTCCCAACTTGAGATTAAGAAGACGAGAACCCGTTATCGACTATGGACAACAAAAGGGAAGTTCAAGTATCATAGTTTCTCTCACTTGTTGAGCAATATCAAGAGGAATTTAAGTCTACCACTGGAACCTTGAAAAACATCAGATATTCACATCTCAGCTATTCATCTTTATTTAAGGAGAAAAAACATCTCATTACTCACTCAAAAACTAAATCAATAACAGACTTCTATATACTACACACACATTGACGCACTCATACCTTGAAAAGAAAAAAAGGCAATTTCATTTTGCCTCTCTCAGAAGTAAAACTTCCAACCAACAGTTTCAGCAGAAAATTGTTCAGTGTGCCTATGAAAAAAAGAAGTTTCTGTTAAATTGTAGCGCCCGAGAAATTGAAGAAGAATTGTAGCCACGTCAGCAGACCCAGTCAGCAGTTCCGGCCAACCAGGATCTGCCACGTGGCAAAACTACGTCGACCGGGGACGGGCCACGTTGGCGATCCGCGTACGCGCGATCGGACGGCCCAGATCAAGCGTGCGTACGGACGGCCCAGATTTAATCAAAAAACGGACGGCCCAGATTAAAACAAAATGGACGGCTGAGATCAAAAGGCAAAAGGATATAAATAGAACCCCCACACCAGACCACAAAAACCCTAACCGCCTGCCCTCGCCGGAGAAGACGAACCAGACGCCGGAGACGCCGGCCACCGCCACCCGCCGCCGCACCGGGGAGATTTCCGACCGCCGATCGAGGTAAATTTCATACCCCCGACTCGTTTTTCCACGCTGATTTCCCCTATGGCCAAATCGGAGCCAAAATTCCGACCAAACGGCGGGAAAACACGGCCGAAACCCAGCGGCGCCGCCGCACCCCGTCTCGGTTTTTGCCTCCGATGAGGCCCTTCCCGGCCTCCGTTTAATGTAATTTTTATATCACCGTGATCACCATTCTTTTCTCTACAGGTTGATCGGAGCCGAATCACCAAAACACAAACTTCACCGGAGAGCCGCCGCACCCGAGAGCACTGCCGCCGGTAAGCTTCGGTTTTCCGTAATTTTTTGGCCCCCCGAGGGCCCTAGGGTTGTTTTATCGCAAGGATCGATGCAAGTGTGGCCGAATTCGGCCGAAAACGGCCAAACCGAGGTGAATCGCCGCCGCTTGCGGCGGAGCCGTCGCCGGAGCACGGCGGAGCCGCCGTGCCGGAATTGCGATATTGGCCAAAAAGGGGCCCCGGGCCTAATTTGGAATTTTTTTGGAACACATGCAGATACCAGTAGTGCGTTTCAGTTCCCCGTGAAAAATTCAGGAAAAATTAGGGACAGCCTGTAGGCGCACTGTGAAGCCGTGTTCGGACCCTGAAACGAGTAAGGACCCCTCACCCTATTTCCTATCACGGTATTAAAGTTCAATAATGATAAAACGGCATTTCTTGAATCAACGAATGTGTGAAATTGCTTAAGGTCACTAATGAAGCCCGAGTCTAATGTGTTTGTCGGTTAACTGTTATTTGTCCTGTTTTACAGTTTTAAATGCAGTATGAGGTTTGATATTTTCATTTTATAGTTTCGTATGCATATTTTACTGTTTCATTGATTATGGATTGAACGACTGGGATATTGATGCTGTATGTTGTCTGTTTGGCATAAATTACTGTTTTGCTTGTTTGTATGTGGATTGATGATGCTGACTGAGGAAAAAGAGAATGAAAGATTATGTAAATGGGTAGTCTGATACAACGTTGGTCAGCCCGACTAGATATACTGGGAGATGGTGGACGGACCGGGTCCGTAGGGAACCCTACCGGGATTGTGGTCTCTCATACCGGACGGGGTATGGAGATCTTATGTGTTTTGGCGCCCATACCGGACGGGGTATGGGGACGGCCCGTTTCACCCTCATACCGGACGGGGTAATGAGGTTTATAGTTTTGGCGCCCATACCGGACGGGGTATGGGAACGGCCCTGGAATCTGATTTCAAGTGTTAAGGGTTAACGGGTAGCGGGACCCCTATGGATCCCCATGGATACTAGTGGGCTGGTAAATGAGGAAAATATGTTGTGTAACGATTGAATTACAAAAGACTTGATAAGTATTATGTTATACAGTTTATATATGATTTCATGATGATGATAATGTTATTGCTTTCGTATACTATTTTATGAATTTCACCGAGATAAGTGGATGGTGAAGGATTTATTATTGATAAAAGAATTTGTTGTAAATTATGCTCCATTGGTCTTTTTGTGTTTTCTACCCACCTTTACCTCCGTGACGGTGAGATATCGTGATGTCTTTACTAGGCTAGTATAGCTCATTCCTTATTTAATTATTTCAGATCAGCAAGACATTGTTCCCGAGCCGGTTCCGCAGGAGGACGACGAAGGGGACGCCTAAAGACTCCATAGTTATATTCGTACCTTTTACCTTCAAGTTTCTCATTTAGGTAGTTTGATCTTTTATATTTCGTGAGCACGTTTTTGGTTTTAGTGTAAGGGATGTTAATCGAATTTTTGACTTCGTTTCCGCATTTGATATTTTTAATACACATTTCATTTTAAATTTCCGGGGCCGTTACATAAATAAGGAATGAGCTTGTTCCCTTCTAGTATAGGCTGCCTAATTTCCTTAAAATCAAGTTCTACAGTATGCAGCAGAAGGCAATCAATCTGTCTTTTTGCTAGGCCGTGGAATAAAATTTAGATTGTAGGAAACAATTAAGTGTCCAAAAGATATCAGACATTATGAATCATGAAAAGATCTAATAGAATATATATACACACATATATCTAAACACAACCCCCCCCCCCCCACCCCCCCCAATATATATTTGTATATCAGCTGGCCAAAAAATTAGTCTCAGGGCCAAGATTCTTAATGATGAGTAATTAGGTTCCAATAATAATAAAGTCAAATGGATAAAAAAAACAGAAACTAAAGCTGTTAAACAAACACCATTGTCCTTATCATTTACCAAAGATTCTAGGGCTCTTAACAAATTACCGTGACAGAGGCAAATCAAATAGTCTTCTGCTCATGCAACTAAAATCAACTAACATTATTATTATTGCTTTGAAATAAAAATCAACTAACATTATTAGGTGGCATAATTGATCCTTACATGAGGCCCACATATCTTTAAGTCCATTCAGCCAGAATCATTACTCAATGAAATTAATTGCTTTACATTATAATAAGAATTTTTTAAAAGATTTAAGTTTCTTCACTTTACTGTTCAAGTAAACTTTTCATATCTATATTCTATATTTTTATGAGACAAAAAATATTGTTACTGTAAACAAGGTACCAAGAGAGTGCCACCTGTATGTAAAATTCTCAGGTCTAAGAACCAATGTTCTCTAAATCCATGCTTTTATCGTTTTAAGGAGATATTACTAGTCAAGAAACTACTTAATACTCAGATCATTAACTCCAATATTTTCTGGTTAGGTTTACCTGTTAGGACCCTAAACTCTATAAGAAGAGAGGTTTAGGATTATATTATTTACTTTTCCAGATTTAATTAAATTACAGTAGAGAATTTCTTTCCAAAATTCCTGGTTGTACCATCTTTTAGACCATATTGGATAAGGTATTAAGGATGTCGAACTGTATGGAGGTTGGAGTTTATCACCAATATATGATGAATACCATCAAGGAAGACCGATCTTATGTTACATGATTATTAAGAAAGAAGAGGCTTGCCAAAGTTCTTGGAAAAGAACAAAACCAGCCAATTTATCTTGTACTGCTGACATTATCAGGCATGGAAAATTTTCATGGCGAAAGAAATAAAGCAAAAAGTTTGAAAAAGGATGCCATGCTACTTGAATGCTCTTTTTATAGAAAAGAAATATTATTGAGGAAATGATGAAACAAAATACAATACCGAAGTGTAAGATATCCTCCTACAGCCTGCGAAGTCTTGAATGCTAAGACACCAAAACAGCATAAAATATTGAATGCTTAGGTCGACATATACATCCTAGGCTTCTTATGTGGACTATTGAAAAACCTTTTGTATGCTAACAGTGGAGCAACAAAAACTGACAAGGTAGAAAGAACTATCTAAAATCCATTTGATCATCAAGGACAGATTTTTTTCCCAATCCCAGAGAAATGATGCAGGAGAAAAGCTAAATTTCATTACTCAGTCAGGAAAATTTAATCAACCAAGAACTTGATTCATCTGGTACATAACCAATATTTGAGAGAAAAATTATCTGCTGTAATTTTATTAAATCCAGGCAGATAATACAATCCTGTCTCTCTCCTTTACGAGAGTTCGGGTAAGTAAGGGGTAGTTTGTCATAACATATACATGAATTTAGAAAATTAAACTACAACTAAGCAAGGACTAGGCAATCCCTTCAGTTCCTTTACTCTCAACTTTTCGTTATCCAAAAAAACTAAAAATTCTCCTTTTCTTTCCTTTAAAACTCCGCCATTTCCATTTATTTCCTTTCCTCTTTGTCGCTTTGCTAACTTTTACACAAACGTTCTGTAAGAAAACTTGAAAAGTAAAGAATACTATCCCATTTTTCCCTGCACCACATTAGGCATAGAAATCCTTTCCGCTGTATTTGCTATTACTTTCAACGAATCAAAATTAGACAAATTTTGGATATAACGTCTAGCAAAAACCATTGCGGATGTTCATTCAGTAATTGCCTCCATAAAAGTACCATTAGGAATTTTCTCCCAATATCGATCTACCCTAAATTTTCCACTGAATGAAAACACAACGTAGGATATAGTTACGCATCACAGAGTAAGACCTAGAAATCAAAGGCGACGAAGAATTCTCACACAACCTTAACGAGAAGAAGCCTTCGTGCGGCAGTAGCAACCGCCTTCTTTGCCCGATCGTCGCGGATCCCCGAGTCAGACTCGTCGTGATACCAGCCCACCGATTTCTGCGCCTCGTAGACAATCTGCGATATACCTGAAAAATGACAAAAGAAGATGGAATAATAGAGTCATGGATAAATACACATACAAGAATATGTATACAACAGAAATGGAGAAGGGAGAATGCCTTCTCGGACGGTTTGCTTATTGTGGCGGATGTCGTGGACCGTGGCGGATATCTTCCAGTAAAGAGGGCGACCGACATAGAAGAGCACCACTATCACCACCATGGCTACGACCACGCGAAATGTTAGTTTTGCTGGTGAAGTCGCCATGAGTTTTGTTTCTTCGTCTGGTTTTCAGAGAGTGGGAAGAGCAGAGGGTGGAGGGGAGAGAGGAGAAAGGAGGAGTACTTGATTGCAACGGAGATATTTGCCCGTTGATATTTCTGCCACGTGGCGCGTAATGTTGGCTGGATCTGGTCTCAAAATTTTGTTTGCGGAAGCTTTTTCTGAAATAACAGTTTTGTCCTTGACTTGCGTTGTTTATTATTATTAATAAAAATTATTTTCATGTTATTTAAATAATGTAAGAAAATATTATATTATTTTAATAAAATATTACAGTAAAAATCATGTTTTAAAAAAATTTAATAAATTCAAAAATTAAATTAGAATAAAAAATTAGGTCTAAATTGTAACGCAACTCAATCATTTTTTGCTCTTATAATTATTTTTTAATCTCATTCAAATTTATAATATTATGTAAAAAAAAAATTAAGTTTTAATATAAAATAATATATATTTTGTTTACATTAAGCAAATATTCTGTTAATTTAAAATAAAAAATATTTATTATCTTTAATATAATTTTCTTAATTTCTTTTTTTACTAAATAATTAAGAAACTTGGTAGAATTGGGCCAAAATAAAGATGGACAACAGTTTGGATTGTCTTTAAAATCAGATCACCTACATACAATATATTTACAAAAAAAAAAAACAATATGATTAAGATAACTTGTTTAATTTTTTTTAGGATATATACAAAAATATGATTAAGTTAACGTGTCTTTTAATTTTGTCTAAATTAATTTCTACTTTTAACGATGCTCTACTACCATTTAATCATATTCACGTTATAAACAATGTTACCGAATAAACATTATGGTTGTTAACTTGTCAGCCATGTGGCAAATATGTTGGTAACTTCTTGGAACGTGGCTAGTGTAGTTGCCACATAACAAGCATGCAAGTCGTATAGATTATTATCTATAACTGTTTGATTATTATTAAATTTAGGACACGTTATTATTAATGTGTTAAAATTATGATATATCAATAATGATATGACATTAATATTACTTAAAATTAAATTTCATAGAGTACTCTTCATGTCTCCTGATTCTTGCTATCCTCTTCTTTCGAGCCTTCATCTTTTTTCCATTCGTAATCTCATTCAAATCTTAAATACTAAATTCCATCTTATTTTTTTTATCATATCTCTTTTTTATAATCTCATATGTTAGTTTGACTATATTAGTTCCTCCATTTATAATTAATAACATAGTGCACCACCGAATAGCATCAACAAATAGTACCTTCTAATTTATTGATTTAAAGAATTAATATATAGATATGTTAGGTATAAAATTCGATATGTACTCTATTGAGATGATGTTTCTACAAATGACCACGACTAAGTTTCCAATAAATTTGATCCACCATGATGACCAAGCGAGTTATCAAATGGATTTTTGGTAACATACTTATCCCGACTGCGAATGATTAATCATTAAAGAAGATTTGAGCTTTACAAAGACAACAATCAAGTGTATAAAGTTAAGGCGAAAAGATAGATCAAATCTTGATAAAGTCGTACTGCCAGAAATTTTGAGAGATTAAGAGCACTTGTCGAAGAATCCATATACAATGTTTGATGTCTATCATGTGGCAGTCATAATAATGGCAAGTTTTTTAAAAATTATTAGCATATCTGCTATCTAACAGTCACGATTTTCATATGGTAAAGTTGTTTGTCACGTGAACATCTATTAAATAATATGTTAATAATAGAGAATAATTTAAACAAAATTTGAAAGTACGAAATTGTATTTTAATTAAAAAATATATTAAAATACTCAAAGTGAATCTTTTCTAAAAATATAATTACTATTTAAATATATTTAGATGAATTGCACTACCACTACTGAATAGAATTATAATATATATAGACATATAATAATTAATACAAATATAAATATTCACTACTACATTTGGTTAGCTATTCATGACAAGAGGGGTAATAAATGTATGTCTCAAAATTCTTTCTTTTTAATCAAATATATTATAATTTGTATACT